ATGCGTGTATTTTTGTGCGCAATCAGGAAACTTGTGTGTTTTTCTTTTCTTCAACCATATCTGGATCTAAAGTCATAATTCAAAGCAGATGGCGATTCAGATGCTGGTTTAAGTAAGGGTTTTTATCTTGTACACGGTCGTAACGTCTTAGCGTAGAACCGACAAAAAGGCACACACACACATGTGTATGCACGCTTTCTTGCGTAAATGCGTTTTGTATCCTGACGTGACAAAAAAGTATAAAATAAGGCCCTCAGTTCAAGCTGTGAAATAAAAAAAACGCCAAATGTGCAAACTGCCGATGAAAGAAAATTATTGACCAAAAAAAACCATCCTTTTCCCATCAATCTTTAATCTCTCAAAGATCCTACAATTTCTAAATTAAGAAAAAGCGGATTTTGCGGGTAAGTAAAATCAACCCAAATTCAAACCGTTGTAAAATTTAAGAGAGCGGCACAAATGGCGAACGAAACGCAATACAACTAGCATTCATCTTTGGAAGAATGAAGCAGGGTGGACCTAAGCCTGAATCGCTAGCAGACTGACAACCATATGATGCAGTTCTGGTCGCAATGGCAATAGAAAAGTTGCCAGCTGTGCTGTGACGCGCAAATACGCTATGATGAAGTAACAGATAATAAAAGCATCAAAGCAATTTCACTACATCTAGTAGCTACTAAGTAGGAAGGGTATTTGATGTTCTGGATTTTATAGTCGTACAGTCGAGTGTCAGACCAGCTACAGGCTTAGAAGTTATCGTAGTGACCTATTTCGTAGCTCGCAGTAGCAAACACACCAATACAAACTGAGTTCCCTGAAAGCAGAAATTCTGTGAAATATTTTGGGGGTCCTCTGGAATATAAACTGAGTGCTCCGGAAGCAGGAGTTCATTCGTGGGTTGCTTGTGCCAGTCTAGAGCTGTCATTCAGCCGTTGGTAACTTCAAAAATGTAAAATCGGCTTGTGACAGAAATGACTTAGAAGAAAAAACGATTAGAAAAGAGAACAAGCTCAAACAGTCCCAGACAGCCCGAAAATTTCCAGAACAGCCCCGTCCTTGCTACCAGTACTGACTGCCAAATCCAGTCCCAGCTAAGGTTATGCCCAGTAAATCCAACCTTCACGGTAGGCGTTTCCACACAAATTCGACTAGACTCCGGATACTCCCAATCACTACTGCAGTTACTCTAACGTAAGTATGGCTCTTGCTGTAGGCAATCTGATACAAATCCGTCCCTCGTTGTGAGTACTTTATATACCCAGTAAATGCAGAAACAATCTGACAGAATTTATACATGCCGACGCAGAACGGGCAATGAAGACAATTAATGCGATTGCTCGCTGAGGGATTTGTTAAAATAATAAAACACATGCATGCAAATTTCGCGCATTTCATGCAGATATCAAATGTTTCACAAAATTCATCTACTGTGTACCGTGCAATTGTGAGGGAAGTGAAAGCTGTGTAAGAGAGCAGCTGGAAAATACGCGAAGTGCGTTGTGACGATGATCAGCTAAAACACGGCATTCCGGATGCACTGCGGTATGTTGTTACTTCTAATAACAAAGATCAGATAATGAAATTATGACAATAAAAAATTCGGGACATGCAATAGAAATTTACCAAAAATTTTTTGAAAAAAAAAGCAGAACTTTCTCTCACGAACACACAGGCCCATGTAAAACCAAGAAATATAATTGTCAGTGTAATAACACAGTATATTAAAAAGCAGAACTTCAAGAAAAAAAATTATGATCAGGAATTCATCCCTTTCAAGAAAACCTTTTGGAGTTTGAAAAATTATTGAAGAATGTGAATCTAAAATTCTTATAAATTCAAAATCCTTGTAAATCTGTTCTCTGGCTCGCCGTATAGCACAATAATGAAACTTGAATCCTGTTTTCTTCTTGTTAGTTCTGATAATTTCAACTAACTATGCTATTATATGCTTAAAGTAAGATGAAATAATGGTCCTGTAGAAAGGATCGCAGAAGAGAAGGTGCGATGAACTGGAAAGAAATTTTATGAGCGGTAAATTTTGCTAAACACTGTTTAATAGCAAAATGAAGAAAAAAAAATCAGGCCGACAGCTCAGCCATGTATAAAAAGCTGCTACGAGAAAAGAGTCTGAGTGAGGTTTGGCCGGACCGAGGGACAACCCCTTGCTTCCTGTATGACCATCAGTCACGCATTCCCCTACCAGATGAATGCTTCAGCAACTGATAAGCGAAGGGTCACCGGTTCACAAATGCTGGGCCCGAAATTTCTGGATGGAACTATCACCTGCGCATCGGGTGTAAACCTCTGGAAAAAATTTACCGGATATTAGTGAAGCCGCGAAAGCAGTGTTCCAGTTCTGTTAACTTCAGCGCTCGTGTGTAGCAATAGAGGCATGATCACTGTCTATGTTATACGCACTGAACTGTCGGGAATATATAGTGGATAGCTACAGTAACCCTAAATAACAAGATTATTGTCATTAGCGAGCATTAGAGAAGCCATCGCGACAAAAGTACGGTTCGTTACATAATCCAGGAAGCAAGAAGCCATGCATTTCAGTGCCTCTGTGCTTCTTATACCTCGTAACAAAGTGCCTCCTTAATACACGCTACAGAATCCACAATTTTCAAAAACACCAAACTGCCTTCGAACCAACGAAACCCATGCCCCCTGAAAGGCACTGACCAACAGTGCATGAAAAATCATCCAGAACTCCTACGTTTCACTTGGCTCCATTCCAACAAAAAATTTCATTTTGAATTCAATTGCAGCGCTATGTCAATGCATTCTCATCGATAGCAGTAAGAAAACATGAAAGAGGAAAAATATCGTATTGCGGATAGGATTTGACTATAAGAAGAGGGAGGTCTGACACAACATCATTACTACCCCTTTGGACTCTTCCTCCCAAACATGGAAGTGAATATAGTCCTATATTTGCGTAATTATGAAAAAAAAATTTTTTTTGGATGTTAAAAATTGTCTTTTGATAGACTGTTGAGCAGCAGGCAGAAATACCCACTTAGCATCAGCTGCCAGACCGGCCCTTCGTATTCTTCTTCCCGCAGGTGTGGCTTGAGCCGTTTTCCCGCATTTCAGACACACTTGAGCATCCGAGAACAAGCACTGTTTTTTGCTAAAAATTGTGCGCTTCTTCCGTTGAAATTTACGCCATTTCGTAAAATACCTCTTCTCTCGGATAAAACTGCACACTTCTGGCTTCAATTCTTTGCTTTTTTTTCCACCAAACAGATGATTGCTCCGTCCTCTCTCCATCCCCTGCCCCGGCCAGACATTTTATTGTTTTCATTCCTACTTTTCTTTTCCTCGCCCACCTCTGGATGCTTCTGCTTCGGCGCGGCACATCAAACAAAATCGAGTAAATTCGCTGAAATTTTCGAAAGTTATTTTGAGACAGATTTGCAGCTGTACACGTGAAGGGACGAGTTAATGGTCTGTGACAGCAATAGGGCAACAGGTCTGGAACAATGGCTTTCGCATCCGTACTGGAGTAACGCTTAAACTGCAATAGTGCCGCCACAACTGGACGTGAAGAGCGTGGTCTCGGTGCACATAGAGCAGCTTGGACATTAATGGCCGTTACCATGGTGCCCGCGACTGGTCATCCACTGCTTACATTTCAGATGTCGGTTTATGACGCTACATTATTTTTCATGCCTCTTTGTATCAGCCAGTAGCGTACTTTTCAAGGCTCAGCAAGCTCCAACGGTTGAGGGGGCAACCCGAGCGAAGAACTGAGCGCCAGATTGTGAATTTAGAGGCAAAACTGTCCAAACCGAGGGCGAAAAATCGAGAGGCACCAATAATCCAATCTGGTTCGAAATTCCGGATGCGCTCTTGGACTCAGTTGTTGTCAAGTTAAGCGATTTCTAGAGAATTACTGGTTTCCAGGTGGAACAGCACGAATCAGGCATGCAGTTTTTTGCGACAATCGCTGTGAAAGATGGCGTTTTTTTGTAAATCGACGTACTTTGGAAGTGTAGCATGGCACAACATGACACTGCCTCGCCTCTTAAACTGATATTCTTGGGTTGGTTCTCATATTCCAGTCATGTATCTTAATGTCTACAGTCCTGAACAGGGCGTCCAAACCTATACGCGTGATTTCCGCTGCGCAGGTCCGCTCTCACAAGGATCTGCAATAAATAGCTTTACCTTGTGCTGCTCGTTTCTTGTGGCTGGATGATTTTGCACTGTGCTTAAACAAGTAAACTCATTTTTGCGTCTTTTACTGCCTGAAATCACGCGTGCCTTCTCGTCCAGTCACCTGGACTTCTGCTGTGCCCCTACTTCAGCCTGATCGCTATTGGACCTCAAAATAGAACTCAGCCAAGCCTGGAGCGATTAGTCCAGGTTCAGCTTGTAAGGGAAATCAAAGCTCAAAAGCAAACAGAACCGAGATTTTTGTGACAGGACTGTTGGATG